GCGGTAAGGTTAGATCTTTCAGGGCATCGATAAGAATAGCATGTTCAACACTATCCTATGCCTTGGCTAAATCAAGGGTTACTGGGGTCGCATAAGGTCGTCTGTGGCGAGCAAGCTTTATACGAGCCTCTAAATCAACGTGCGCCCACCATATAGAGTAACCCGGTCTAAATGCAATCTGCCACGCACTTAATATTGCACTATCTGTTATGAACTTGATCATTCTAATGTAAAGTATTATTTCTATTAACACAACTACAGGTGAGGTTAAAGCGATCGGCCTAAAGTTATCTATGTGCATTCCTATAGTCCCTGTTTTTTAAGAAGCGGTATTATTTTTGCAAGCATTCAGTCAGGAGGTGTCCAACTATATTTTCAAATGAATGGTTGACAACGTTAAGGAGGTCTTCAGGAGAGATGTCGAATAATATTTTTAGCGTTCCTGCAGTGACAACATCTGGTACAAGACATGTACGAACGACGTGTGCAAGCTCATCCCTACTTACTTCAATAAAATCATTTCTGAGTGAAGGTTTTACAAACTTTATTTGTATTTGTGATGTAAATATCTTCTATAATCCTAATGCACAGACGCGTGCTCCCTTCATTCCCTTCTTCATCTTCTGTTTCGCTTTCAGAACACGGGTGTCAATCAGTCAGGTGCAATGCAATGATATAAACATTTATATACAAAAAATATATATATGTTGCCACGTGCCTAATTACGGCAAGAAAGTCAGCAATACAATTGTGCGTGTACTAAGAAGGACAATAAAAAGGACAAAAGAGACGAACTAGCTCGTGCCAACTCCCGTACCGAATCTATTTTGCCACGGCATGCCGGGCGAAAAACGACAATTTCAAAAGTGCGCCTCCTCCACCGAAGCACGCCCTTGAACTTTTTATCGTCAATAATCAGGAGCAAAATCGGGATTTGCAATTTCAAATCGAAAAAAAGTATTCAGGCTGAAACTAGCCTGTAAGAAAGTTTAAATCACAGCGGATAAACGTAATAGCCCAATTTTTCGTCAACACTAAGCTCTATGCTTGTGCTTACATCGGTGCTACCCTCTAACGCACGGGTGATACGGCAATGACCAGAGTGTAGAGCGAGTGATCCTGCACGGCAAAAGGCGCACTATTCTGAACTGTCGGTAGCGTTTCCTTGTTCTTGAACTGCTGGACAATACGGAAAAACAATGTTAAAGAGAGATTTATGTTCTATCATTAAATCGCGTCTTGACAATACCAAGATCAACAGTAATGCTTCCGATTGGGCTAGTTGGTGCATGCTTGGAACATAATGCATGGGTGTGCTTAAAACTCGAAGAAAAAGAGGAAATGCACACAGCAAGAGTGCCTACTTCCAAAATTACTATAGATTGCCAAAGCGAGCCTATATGAAGAAAAATTGCCCCATCGCGTCCATTGTGACACTCGTACTTGCGGTGCACCCCCTTGGAGTCGCGCGAAAACAATTTTCCCTCTATTGTTTCGATTTGTCAGTATATATACTTTAGCCACTGTATCCAAATTGTTCTAGCGCGACCATTTCATGGCCATATTTGGAAAGATAAGGGTGTGTCGCGGATGTGATTGCCACGAAGGGGACGTAACGAGGGCCCGTGATGATGTTTATTTGTTCATACTGACAGGCTCGCTTTGGCATTCTCAGTAAATTTGGAATTTTGTGCCCGTCCTGTGTGCATCTCTTTTTTGTACGCGTTATTTTGCCCGAGCCATGCATAATGTTTCAAAATCACCATGCTTGCCGCTATATTAGGCTTTGTAGCAAATAAATAAATAAACTGCAAGTGGTTATGCCGCCTTGATAAAATGAAGCGTTTGGTATAGTTCGTTTAGCATCAATAAGTACAAACAGCCTGACTTCAGCACGGGGACATAGCCCCGCCGTATTGGTCTAGTGGTTAAGGTTCTCGGCTGCTGATCCGCAGGTCACGGGATCAAATCCCGGCTGCGGTGGCTGCATTTTCGATGGAGGCGTAAATGTTGTAGGCCCGTGTGCTGAGATTTGGCGCACGTTAAAGAGTCCCGGGTGGTCGAAATTTCCGGAGCCCTCCACTATGGCGTCTCTCATATGGTGGTTTTGGGACGTTATACCCCACACATCAATCAAGCAATCAACACGGGGACGCAAGAACAGACAAAGACAAGCGCGGATGTTTATGTCTGCCAATATGACCATGACATTTTCGCGCAAGTCACCGTGATGTGATGAATTTTTACGGTCTGTGCTGCGGTCTAAGTAGCTTTTAATCGTTAAAGATGGTGTACATTGTTCACTGATGAGGCCATAGGCTTAGCACGCCAAATTTAAGGAAATTTCGTCTATCCCATGCGATAAAAATGCGAAAGGTACATTTTGAAGTCCGTCATGTCATGCGTCACGAACAAGCACCCGAAGTTCAAAACTGGAGCTTTGGATTCGATTTTTCCTACGATTGTGAAGTTATCGTCGTTCGTCGCTAGAGCTATGGGAGTACAATTATTTAGTGTAGCCAGATTCATTGTTTGTCTTTAGTGTCCATTTAGGATCGGCGAGTCTTTCTTCACTGCGGGGCACCGCGATAGAATAAAGGAGGCAACCATACTTCGAGGCGAGGAGAGAAGGTGTGAAAGCAGTCGGCTGTTGGGCATACAACAGCAAAAGCGCAGCTTGTAATTGGTCAAAACACCGCCATTGTCGCTGGGCCGGAGTTGAAACGCGGCACATTACGCTTTTGCGCCCCAGGAAGAGCACCGACGCCGAGTTCTTTCGAAGTCGGGGAAGTGGGTCCTCAGGCCACAGCAGTGTGTGTCTTCGGCTGAGAGACGGCATAGGCTCGGGTCAGCTGCAGCTGCCCAGACAGATGCATGCCCTGAGGTGAGTGGGGAGCGCTCGCCGCACCCCACTCGCGTGCCTTTCCAGTCGGGCTGTGGTTGGAAGCATGTTTTCTACGGTAGGACAGCGTCGGAAGAACGATTCGCGTGCGCTTCCGTGTGTGTGGAGCGGTGGCAGCGAAGTGCTTTGCAGGATTCAAGGCCAGATTGACAATATTGAAGGTACTACCGCACGCAAAAAAAGTGCACGAACAATAGAATCTTTCGAGAGCCTGTTGGCACATACTGACGAGAACTTTCCGTGAGTGTATTTTCTGTGCGCTCAAAATTATTGAGAAAAGTATAGGGGACGTTATTCAAATCGTAATGTAAATGTGAAAAAAAGAAATGTGGACAAAAAGACAACTTGCCACCAGCAGGGGCCGAACCTGCGACCTTCGAATAATGAGTCCGATGCATCTCTATCACTGAGCTACAGTGGCGGTGCATCGTGCGTTCATATGATATTTCATTTTATGGCGATCTCGGCGAAACAGCAACAATCAGATACTAGAGCAAACGTTTTTTCAGCTGCTTCCTGTTTGAGCAAACTGAAACGGTCAGCAAATTTGCAGGCTATAATCGGCTCACAGCAGCTTGGCATGTTGGCCCACCATAGAATAGTACACAACCAAATGCAAAAATCGGACGAACATACATGCAGTAAATCATTATTAGCGTACCTTGGCATAGACCACGATGGAGCCGGCGAAGTCCAATCATCTCAACAGTGCGTGAAGCCTTAGTTTTTAAAGTGTCTAACGTGATTTCGCCGGCTCAGATTTCTGTCATAAAATACACCTATATATTTATTACAGTCGACTGAAGAATTCTTTCTTGATAGTATTGAAGAAATATATTAACTGTCATACAAAGAAAAGATGCTATAGAACATTTGGGGAAGTTTACTTTGATAATATTATAATCAGACCTGGTTTCTAATGTTGCTAAATATGAAAGTATAGCCGAGTGGAGTAAATGTATAATACAATATCATTTGCACATATCTATACTCGTATCTTATCACACAGTGGTAATGAAGTTACCGAAATTTTATATCACACTGGCGAGAGAACAGAGCCCTGGCGGACACCTCTCGTTTGGTTAGACTTCGACATAGATAAACACATAGTTCGGAGCAATAAAATTATGTATCTTTAAAAAAATCATACTTCCAACTTATAATTGACGGATTAATGAAGAGGCCTTTGCCCTGCAGCGGGCGCAGTCAGGCTGATAATGAAGAATGATGATGTTGATCCAACTTGTAAGATACTGTGAAAAATTTCAGTCTTTTAGGGAATTGATGAGAGTAACGTGTTCAACACGATCATATGCCTTGGCTAAATAAATTGTTGCCAAAGCCGCATATTGCGCTCTGTGCTTATAAACGTTGATGTCAAGCAAGCTTAACACGAGCCCTGTGTTGCCGGATGCTACTGAGCAAGCAAGTGAACACTCATCACAAAACCAGGCCAAGAGAAGCGGGATCACAATAAAGTTTTTCATTCTGGAAACTATCCTAATAAGGTTTTGAAAGTGCTGAATACGAAATAGAGTGAAAATCACCTAGTTCTTTTGTACAGCGAGAATATGCGCAAATGTGAACGAAAACACATAGCTACACAATCAGTATCGTCTTCACGGCAGTCGAGCTGCGAATACCAACGTACATGCATGGCCCAAATCCTACACACCACCGCTCGTCAACTGGGCGAAGAGAAGATGTTCAAGCGACTCAACGAGCGCTACCTCCCCATCACCAGTCACGAAGACCACCCAGACTACGCCGGCCGGCCGAACGCCCACCTCGACCGAGATCTAGAGGAATGGAAAGTGAGGCAGGCGGCGCAGGACCTGAACTGTCGTTCGGCCGCCGGACCCGACAGAGTTATAACAAAGCCCTACGCAACCTGAGCGACTCAGCCATCACATCACTGACACGCTACAATGAATGCTGGCGTAACGGCAAGCTGCCCAAGGCCTGGAAGACAGCAAAGACGATCCTGCTGCCAAACCCAAACAAGCCACCGGGTATAGAGGGCCTGCGTCCCATCTCGCTCACGTCCTGAGTGGGCAAGGTCCTGGAGCACGTTCTTAACACCCGCTGGAACCGTTACATGGAAGAGCACCATGTCTACCCGCACTCAGTGCTTGGCTTCCGAGCCAAGTTGGGAACGCAAGACGCCATGCTCCTGATCAAACGAGAAGTCCTTGACCCACCGGGCGGGACTCCAAAGAATGACAACCGAGCGATCTTGGGCCTGGACCTGCAGAGCGCCTTCGACAACATTAGACACTCGTCGGTCCTGGCTCAGGTGTCCCGCCTGGGGCTGGGCGCAAGATCTTACAACTACATCAGAGCCTTCCTCTCTCGCCGCACGGCCAGGCTGGAAGTGGGAGAAACGAAGCTCGAAGAACGAGAGCTGGGCAGTGTCGGGACCCCACAGGGCTCGGTCATCTCCCCGTTCCTGTTTAAACATTGTCATGATCGAGGTGGCCAGGCGTCTGGAGGCGCTGGGCCCGGGGATACGACACTGCCTCTACGCCGATGACGTAATCATCTGGGCCATGGGTGGAAGCGACAGAGACATCGAGGCGGGTCTGCAGGCGGCGGTGGACGCCGTGGAGTCCGCACTCTCGGGCACGGGCTTGCGGTGTTCGCCACAAAAATCACAGCTACTCATCCTGCCACCACCTGGGAGGCACAGAAAGAAGGCAAGTCGCGAGGCGGCCGAGAACATCATCGTGCGCACCAGTGACGGTATGCAGATCCCGCACGTCCTGGGGCTTCGAGTCCTCGGGATGTTCGTGGACGGCACCCAACCAACGCCACGGCGGTCAAGAACATCACAACTACGATGGATTTCGCAGCGCGCCTGGTCAAGCGAATGTCGTCCCGCTACCGGGGCATGAAAGAGAGGGGGCTCCTGCATCTGCTGCAGGCTTTTGTTATAAGCCACGCGGCATATGCGGGGGCCTTTCACCGCTGGACCGGCGCGGAACGAGCCAAGATCGACGCTGCCATCCGGAAGGCTTACGCAGGGGCTCTTGGGCTCCTACCAGGCACAAAGACAACGGCCTTGCTGTCTCTGGGAACACACAACACACTCTCGGAAATCAGCGAGGCCCAGAGAGCTTCGCAGCTGAGCCGCCTGAGCGATACAGCCGCGGGCGGAGGATTACTCGATCGGGTGGGATTATTACCTCCTGGAGAACGCCCGGGAGCAGGACCGGATGGGGAGCTAGAAGAACAAGTCCCCCTGAGCGATGAGGCAGCAAGAAAGATCATTGTCTACCCGCTGCCAAAGAACATGGACCCAGAAAGTGATGCCGGCAGGCGAGTGGCGAGAGCAGCGGCGCTGGCCCGTCAACATCAGAGAGACGAGGGTGCAGTCTACGTGGACGCCGCAAGATATCCGGGAAGACGCAACGCCCTCGCAGCAGTGGTGGTCAGCGCTACTACCACTAAACTACTAACAGCAAGCACCGTGCGCGCCCGGACAGCCAGCCAGGCAGAGGAGGCGGCGATAGCCCTGGCCATAGGTATGCCGGGCACGCGCACGATGCTAAGCGACTCAAAGCAGGCAATCAGGAATTTTGCCCGAGGCATCGTCTGGCGGGGCACGGAGCGGCTAGTGACGTCCATCACGGCTTCACGGGCTGCTCGCGGCGCCGCTACAGGGCCAACCATCGCCCTCAAATGGTTCCCAGCCCACATGGGACAACTGGCTTTCGACATTGAGAACCGCAACGAGGAGGCGGACGCTGTGGCCCGTGATCTCATCACGTGCCGGATCGCGGCAGCCCGTCTCCCTGAAACCAGCGGTGAAGAACGAGAAGACCTCGATCCTGTCACCGACTACGGAGGGATCCTGGTGGCCTACAGAGAGGCCAGAAGAGCCTTTCCGCCCCCGCATCGTGAACTGTCACATGCGGAGGCGGTGAAGCTCCGACAACTGCAAACGGAATGCGTGCTAACGCCAGCATTGGCCCGGCACGTATGCCCCGACATGTTTGTGGACGCTAAGTGTAGCGTGTGTGAACGTGAACTAGCCACCCTTCGCCACATCATGTGGGGCGGGTGTAACAGTGGTGTGAACAATGGGAATGTGCAGTGCCATTACGCCACATATCCCGAAGAGGTGGGAGCATGGATACGCTCCCAAGACTCAACCACACAACGAAGGGCCATCCAGCGGCTTGAGGAGGCCCTGGCAAAGCAGACGAGAAAGGGAACCGACGCCCCGGACAACGTGAGTGGAGGAGCCCGAGTAACGAACGCCTAGCCAGAGCACAACGTCCTCAAGATCTAGGGCCTGGGACTATAGGACTATTATTTATTTATTTATTTCACAATACTGCAGGCCAATGTGCTGGCCCAAGCAGGAGTGGATACATCAAAACGTAATTGTAGAAAACAACAGACAACAATGCAGAGGAAACAAAAGGTTAAGAAAGAAGGTGACGCTCAAGGTCACCAAGAAACTTATTAGAATGAAAGATGTCACACGGCAAACAATTCCAGTCATCGACAGTTCTAGGAAAAAACTATATTTAAAAGCATTTGATCGGGCGAAAATTGGGGTTAGAGCATGTTCATGACCATGACGAGTACGTCGTACTGAGAGCGGTTTAACACAGTCATTAGCCATAGTCTTTAGATAGGGAATACCCGCGCCCTGTGCAGCCGGTGACTTCCCGCACGCTGGATGCGCAAAAATGTTGTTTCTCTCTCTCTCTTCATGGCAGTCTTCAGTTCGGTTGGAGATGTCAGCGTGAAAGGACGTCTCTCTCTTCGCTCTTACCGGCCTTTCTACTGCTTGCGCCGCCATCTCGCGTCTCCGGCGCGCTCGTGTTCAGTCGTCATGGTGAGCCCTTTTCAGGACTCACCATGGCGACTGAACGGACACTAGAGGATATCCTCAAGGACGAAGACCCACACTCTGTGGCAGCCTGCCGCACCAACTCCCAGCTACGCAGGTTCTTCGCTCGAGGCTCTGGGCAGCAGAGAGATTAGGCGCTCGCCCTGCACACGCAGAAGCTCGAAGTTGCCGCTGCTATAAGAAGGCAGAGGGAGAGAGAGAGAGAGTAGAAAGGCAGCAAACACTACGCAGAGCGGGGGAAAGTCCACTTCAAGCCCGCTACGAGCCTCCTGAATCGGCGGCTCCGGTCACTACAGAACACCTCATCACAAGCCCTGGGGATTCCACCAACCTGACCCCATCTCGCGCGCAAGAAGAGATGCTCCACTCAGGGCACCCCTCTTCAGGCGGAATCTGCCATTACCGACTCCTCGACCGTCTCTAGCTCCTCATGGAAGCATACGACGCCTCCTCGTCACCTGCAACAACAGACACGACAGGTGCGCTAAGTGTTGTCTCTACTCCGCGCTTCTCCGCCACTCCTCCGACCTCATCCTCATCCCGGCCACCGAAGTGAATACGACGGAGGTGCCCAAGCATGTCGCCTTTCCCCTCTTCCACAACTGTGGGAAATCGGTGGCGGCACCATCATTTACAGACCCGTGGTGAAACAAGCCAACTTCCTCGCCATGACTCGTGACTCGATTGCAGCGTTCCTTTCTGGTTCACTGGCACCCAGCGCGTCCGCGTCAACCTCGTTGCCGTCGACATTCCACCAGCAGAGTCCCACGGAGCTCCTCGATGTTCAGCGGATCTGCTCCTTAAACATCAAGTCCAAGTTCCCCACGAACAACACGTGTGTTGGACTCATCTATGCATTGACCAGGACTTGAATCCCGCTGACATCGCGGCCAACATCAACTCGGTCGTTTCAGTCCTCTCGTGTACACGTCGGGTGCGCCACTATCACGTTTGAGGGGACCACCATACCACCGGAGGTGTTCCTTTTCAAGCTCCGCCGGCCGGTTCGCCCGCGTCTCCCGCGGCCCCTTCAGTGCGCCCGCTGTGGTCGCTTCGGCCGCGCCACCGCGAACCTGTTCACGGGACCAACGCTGCCTCTGCTGCGGCGGCAGCCACCCGAAAGCCACCGTGCCCTGCGGAGCGCCCTCGCTGCATTTAACTGCAGCAGCATTCATCCGGCTAACGAACCGCGCTGTCCTTCCTGGCAGATTCAGCGCAAGGCCGCCGTCATCATCGCCTCCTCGGATGGCCCCATGACGCGCACGCCAAGCGCTGGAGAAGGCCAGGACCGCTGTCAACACCATCGACAAGCGAGTCAGCGCGACACTCGTCCAGGGCCGCTCCTTTCGGGACGCTGTCGCCTCCGGTCGTCGAACCGCGTTGACATCTCCTCCTCGCCCTCCTGCCAGTGAGCCTACAGCACGCACGAGTGCCCAGTCGACCCCTCCTCTGAATAGCCCGAACTTCGAGGCAGACGCGAAGGACGCGGTGATCGATGCGCTTGTTGCTGCTGTCAGCGCTGTTATGGTAGCGCTGTGATGGTGTTCCTGCCGCCTGACTCGCCGGTTCGCGGTCTGTGTGTTGCGGCTATCGCTGCGGATGAAGCGATCGTTTCGGCGAGGTAGGGTGACCGGATTACCTGGAGGAGCACGCGAGCGTCTAGTGAGGCGCCGTACCTTACGGGCGCTTCCATGCTTCCATTTTTTTTTCTCCCCCAGTTTTTTATTTTGATAGCTTTTGCGCACACCCGTGCGCCGTTTTAATTTTTTCTTCCCTCCCTTGTCCTATTGAGCCATTTTTTGTCTCAAGCCCTGTTCAGGGCTATCAAGATATTGAGGAAATGTAGAGCCCTCTCATCTCCCCTTAGTTCTTTTTTTTTTAATCTGTAATGACCTCGCCTAGTACGGCCCATCGCCTCTACCAGTAATGACGGACACCCCTTCTAAGGACGCTCCTGACGAGATCACCCTCTGCGCGAGCCTGCATGCTACCGCAACGAGCCGCCCCAGCTCACCCAAACAATCGCCTGCGGCCCCGATGATTACCCGGGCTCGTAAACTGAAGGCTGCTGCCAATCGTCTTCAAAAGCACTCATCTACCAGCACCCCAACTTCTCGGCCCCATGTACGAAGGATCGGGAAACTGTTGCCACCACGCCGGCGTCAGGCACCAACAATCAAGGCCGCCACCACGAAAAGCGCGAAGCTAACGGCCGCAGCCGAGGAGGCCGCCGCCGCCATTTCCTTAGTACCACAGCCTTCCCAACTCCATCTTGTACCCACACTACAAGAGGGAAGCAAGGCTGAGCTGCAGGACTACCAAGAATCGGTCGCATCAACACCGGCAGACAGCGAGGAACAGGCCAGTACCGATTCCTCCTCGCCCACATCATCCTCCTCTTGGGAGCACAACACGCCTCCGTCCTCCTCTCCGTCCCTGTCGCCCTCCCCAAAGGGTCTGGCCCTTTTCAGAACCGGAATCTGCGCTGACGGACCAGGCCGCCAACGAGCAACACAACAGGCGTCGTTTGCAGCTCCCCCCAAGCGAGCGCGCGCTCACTCTGCGCCGCCGGCAACCACTTTCTGCCCTTGCCTGCTGGCTGGGCAAGCCTGCCGCGCCGGGCGTCAAGAAGACCTGTTCGGAGAGGGGTGTGCACGTAGTGCTGTCTC